AATGGACTGTATTAAAGATTTTTATTATGATTGGTGCTACGAGCACGCTCATGCTATAAGATCAACAACTAATTTTCAACTGATTAGGGTTACAACAAACGGTGGCGAGGATGCTGAGACAAAGATGCCAAGTTGGCGCTATATTTCTGAGATATTGAACATCCACCCGCCGTTGAATTATATTCAATAAACATACAAATTAGCATAACAATGGTACATAAACATATTCCAATATAAAATTTACAAAGATTGAATAAATGCTGTAGGTACACATAATGAGAAAATTAACATACATATTTTTTAATTGTCCAATGGCAAAATACATAATTTATTAATGCTACGTTTAACAATTCCCTTGCTCGTTTTAATCTCCGCTACTCTGACCCTTCCATCCGTTCCAGGAAATAGTTTTAAAATTCGTCCCAAGACCCACTGATTTACAGGAAGATTATCCTCCTTTATTAAAACCATCGCATTTAAATTTATGTTGGGTTTCTCTACTTTCAATTTTGTTCTTTGTTGCAAATTGTTCAAATAGTCGCGAGACCATTTAGACCAAATGTATTGAACAATTTTTGTCAACCTTTGCCATCGAGAAAGTCGGGTTTCCGATTTATCCAACAAACTTAGTTCAGCTATGGCAGTTATAGATCTTCCAACCAAAAAATGCCCTGGTATCAGAACATCCAGGTCATCAATATCATCTTACAAAGGTGTTAATGGCCGAGAATTTAGGATTCCTTCGACTTGTGTTGTTATTGTAAGGAATTCCTCAAATGTTAATTTTAAATTTCCTGTAGCTCGTTTTAAATAAAACTTAAAGGATTTGACCCCTGCCTCCCAGAGGCCCCCGAAATTTGGAGCTCTGGGAGGTCTTGATCTTGATCTTGTTGTTAATTTACGTCGCACTAGAGCTGCACAATGGGCTATTGGCGACGGTCTGGGAAGCATCCCGGAGGATGATCCGAAGACATGTCATCACAATTTTGATCCTCTGCGGAGGGGATGACACCCCCGCTTCGGTAGCCCGACGACCTGCGCGCGAAGTCGAGCACTTTACGGTAGCACAGTTTAACGAGGACCAATACCGCACACCCTCGGTCCCTACGCAGACTGATCCAAGTGGTCACCCACCCGCACACTGACCGCAGCCAGTGATGCTTGACTTCGGTGATCTGTGGGAACCGTGTCTTAACGATCAGTCCACTGCGGGACGGAGCTCTGGGAGGAATAAAATTCCAAACTATCCCTTCAGATGCCAATAAGGATGCTAGTTTTTCGTCAGGAAATCTAGTTAAATTCTGCAATCGCTGCAATTCCCTATTAGCCCCAACAAAGTTTTTTTGCATTATCAGATGATATTGTAGCACATTTGCCACGCCTAGCCACAAAACGCTTTAAGGTAGCAAGAAAAGCATCGGTTGTTAAATCGGAAACAACTTCTAAGTGAATCGCCTTCGATGCTAAACACACAAATATTGCAACATAAATTCGTTGGAAATTCCCTTTTCTCTGGTGTTTATATTTAATTTGGAAAGGTCCGCAATAATCAACACCAGAGTGGAAAAAAGGATAATTAGGGTTTACTCTTTCTCGAGGCAAGGTTCCCACAAGTTGATTTGTAACAAGGGGTTTATGTTTAAAACAAACTATGCATTTATGAACAATTTTCCTAGCTATCGATCGACCACGAAGTGGCCAAAACCTTTCTGTAGTGCAATATAATAACGCTTGAGGTCCTAAATGGAGATTTTTGATATGCAAATGAGTCATTAACAATTTAGTGAACAGATGGTCTACTGGAAGTATAGCAGGATGCTTTTGAGAATAATTCAGATCAGCATTATGCAAACGACCACCCACTCGGAGAATTTGATGACCATCAAGAAAAGGATTTAAAGAGTTAAGTTTACTCTTACCTGAAAAAGCCCTGCCCTTGGAAATGGCCTCTATTTCTTCTTTAAAAGCGGATGCTTCTACATTTCTAACTAAAAAGGACTCCGTCTCTTTCAATTCATTAGAGGACAACTTACCATATCTTTTGTTACCTGGATTTCTACAGTTGAATATGAATCTAAACGCATAACTTAAAACATTCAAAATTTT